CTATATGCCTCACTTATCTGTATGTCAAGTTCTTTTCCCCTGCTTGGGAAGTTTTCTGCCATCACTTCTGTAAACAGTTTTTTTATGTCATCTTCACTCTCTCCTGTTTCTTCATTGACTCCAATCAGTCTTATGTTATTTTACTTTGCATCATCTAGCAGCTGCTGGATTGATTTCTCGTGGTCCCTTAAAATTTTAAAGAATTTTTTCTTTTTCTGGTCACTAATTGCAATCCTGTCTTCTATATCTGAAATTATGACTTCACATTGGCTCATTCTGTTGCATAGACTTTCAATGGAGTTTTTAATCTCTTGGAAATCTGTTTGCATCTGTTTTATGGATTCAATTTGTTTCCTATGTTGGCATTCCATCATGTTCCTCAGCTCTTCTATTTTTTTTATCTGTATCCTCTCTAGATTTATTAATCATGTCTTGCACTATGGGCACAATCTTTGCTGTCATGTGAGAAATTATTTCTGATTTCATTTGTTTCAGATCCTCTTTTGTTGCAAGTGCAGGGAGTCCAGGTGGTTGAGTGTCAGAGTGTTCCATCTCATTTCCCTTTGGGCTTGGTGTAGGTAATCTGGAAGTCTGGTTCTGTGGCTTATTTTCCTGACTTTTCATTTTGACCTGGGCGTGGGGGGCTGTTCCTGGCACCTGCATGGCTCACCTCCTCTTTGCTGGGGCCACATGCCTACCTGGTAGCCTCCTTCTACCTGGAAGCCTCCTCATGCCTGGGAGTCATGGCATGCCTACCCTGAAGCCTCCTCCTGTCTGGGAGTCCTGGCAGGCCCAACATCTCTGTTTTTAAGAAAGTTTCCTCTCATCTGTTTTATAAATTGGAATTTTATAAGAAAAAAATTGTGATAGGTTTCGCGCCTAAAGCAAACAGGCAGGCAGGTAGACAGACAGACAGACAGACTGATTGACTGACTAGCAAAAGAGGTCTTGTGCCCTGCCTACCTTCCACACCCCATGTCCTACCTCAGCTTCCCTGGTTCTCTTCCCCAAGCCCTTTGTCCCTGTTGCAGCACTTCTTACCATGGATAATCTGCTCATTAAAAATCCTGAGACAGGTGGGACCCCAGCATCCTACTTACTAAAGCTGTTGGTATTTAAGACATTATAAATATGTTTTTGTTTCCTTTTTTTTTTGGAGACAGGCTCACTATGTAGCCCATGCTGGCCTTGAACTCACACTTGCCATCCTCCTGCCTCTCCTGAGTTCTGGGATTACAGATGTGTGCCCCCAGGCCTGGCTAAGATGTCATAGTCTCACATGGAAATTCAAAGCTTAATGTTCCTTAGTTTATCTTGAATTGATTCTTTCTGCTGTGTAACAAATAACTAGCCTGATTAAAAAACTGAAGTTGTATTTGGGATCTCAGATCACATTCCAGCTTTAATGGTTCAATGAACTAAGCCTTCAATTTCTTTCCTAGAAAATGAGGCTAACAAAATATACAGTGTCTTCCTTACAAGGAATGATGTTGATATTAAATAATGCATGGAAGATTTGTAGAAGTGCTTTGCCCTAGGAATAAATGTTCATAAGCTTCTTTCACTACAATCAATTATAAGAGTTATGTTAGCCAGATGTGGTGGCACATGTCTTTAATCCTGGCTACTCAGGAGGCTGAGACAGTAGAATGGTAAATTGGAGACCAGCTTGAGGAACTTAGCAAGATATTGTCTAAGCATAAAATTTTTTAAAATGTTGGAAATGTTACTCAGTAGAGCATTTGTCTTGCATGTGTGAGGCCCTGAATTCAATCCCCAGTACTGTAATAAAAACATAAAACACAATTGCCACTAGTGAGCTGGAGAGTATTTATTCTGTGTAAGGGTCAAATTTAAGCTGTTTCTTTTTTTCACTGTTATATTTTAGTTTTAAACTTTATTTTATTTTTGCTCTTTAGAATATAAACCTCTCTGCTAGATTTTGGCTCCCTATGGACAAAGACTATTTCCACAGATTAAAACCTATGATAATAATCACTTGACCTCTGACCTATAAATGCGGCAATATTATATGTAGTTCATCTAATAATTAGGCTTTATATTTTAGCACTATATCCTGCTCCAGCTAGGTGTTTAAAAATTTGTTGACTTGTACTACAAAACTGACCTTGGAATTAAAGCTTCTCCCAAAATAATTATTCTTCCAAAAGCAATTGGTATTTTTAGAAGTGTGTTGAAAGAATTGCCTATGATTTATTCTTTTTTTCTCTTTTTCCTCCCAGGTTTCTGGGATAGGTATATGCAAACAAAAAATAAAAGGAGAAGGAACTCAAAGCTGATGATGTACTTGGCAGAGAGATTACTCAACACACAAGGGGGAAAATAAGCTGGTGGATAGTTCTCAGGAATGATGCTTGTGTGCCACAGTGTAATGAACATTTCCTGTGTGGAAAGCAGCCGGTCACATGATGTCCGTGTATCCCTGTACAGTTTAATGGTGATCATAATCCTGACCACTCTGGTGGGCAATCTGATAGTTATCATTTCCATATCACACTTCAAGCAACTGCACACCCCCACTAACTGGCTCATTCATTCCATGGCTCTTGTGGACTTCCTCCTGGGATGCCTGGTCATGCCTTACAGCATGGTGAGATCTGTGGAGCACTGTTGGTATTTTGGAGAAATCTTCTGCAAAATTCACACCAGCACTGATATTATGCTGAGCTCAGCATCCATTTTCCACTTGTCCTTCATTTCCATTGACCGTTACTATGCTGTGTGTGACCCACTGAGATACAAAGCCAGGATGAACATCTGGGTTACTTTTGTGATGATCTTCATTAGTTGGAGTGTCCCTGCTCTTCTTGCATTTGGAATGATTTTTATGGAGCTAAACCTCAAAGGAGCTGAGGAGATGTATTGCAAACACATTTACTGCAAAGGGGGCTGCGCTGTGTTCTTTAGCAAAATAACAGGTGTACTGGCCTTTATGATTTCTTTCTATATACCTGGATCTATTATGTTGTGTGTCTATTGCAGAATATATTTCATAGCTAAAGGCCAGGCAAGATCAATCAAAGGAACAAGTCAGAAACTTCAAACTGGATTGGAAAAGAGAAATGGAATTTCGCAAAGCAAAGAAAGGAAAGCTGCAACAACGTTAGGGATTGTGCTGGGGGTTTTCCTAATATGCTGGTGCCCTTTCTTTGTCTGCACCATCATGGACCCTTTCCTGAACTACGCTATTCCACTTTCTTTGAATGAAGCACTGATTTGGTTTGGCTACTTGAACTCTACTTTTAATCCAATGGTTTATGCATTTTTCTATCCCTGGTTCAGAAGAGCACTGAAGATCATTTTATTTGGTAAAATTTTCCAAAAAGATTCATCCAGATGTAAAGTATTTTTAGACTCAAATCCATGAAATTATTGTATTTTACTGGTGTGCAAAACATTTGATGATCCTATTTATGAACACAGCATAACAAACCACATGCGCCAAACACATCAGTCTTACATCAGCTACTGAGTCAAAGTACCTAGGGGGAACTAAATTGTGATGCTGGTCTCTCATCTCCTGTTGGGACAAGGTAGATGTGATCTTTCCCATTCTTCATGTCCACACTGCAGCTTTGCAAATTCATCATTTAAGGTCCTACATGTTAAAGAACATTTTCTGTTTTTGGATGGAGTGCTATGAACTGACTTATGTGTTCAATGAGGCTGTATTTGGGTATGTAAATTAGAATGAATTTGTTACGTATGTATTTATGATTATCACATCTGTATAGTTGTCCCTCTATATGTATAGGTTCTGCTTCTGTGGATTCAGCAATCTCAGATAAAAAATTGTAAATTAAAATTTGCATTTGTACGGAACTTGTACAGTAAAGACCTTTTTCCCATGTCACCATTCTCTAAACAATTCAATATAATAACTACTTACACATGATATTGGGTGTTACATGTACTCTAGGGCCAGGGATTTAGATCAGTGGCACAGTGCCTGCCTTGAAATTGCAAAGTCCCGAGTTCAATCCCCAGTACCAAAACAAAACGAAACAAAACAAAACAAAACAAAACCATGTAATCTAGAGATGACTTAAAGTATATGAGAGCATGAGCACAGGTACTATGCAGATACTGTGCCATGTTATATAAGGGACTTCGGCATGGATGGACCTGGGTGTTTGTTGGGGATCCTGAACCAATCCCCCTAAGATCCTGAAGGGCAACTGTATGTTTACCTGTTCACAAAGTCAACTAAAAGTACACATTAGTATTACTAATTATGTAGACATTTGTTATTTATATTCTTATAAATACATATTCCAATCCTTAAACATCTTGCTCTTCATCTCTATAAAATAGGGGATTTTTTCTGGTTCTCATGCTTGTAAATAATTTTGAAAATACAACATATCGCAAAAATAAGGTATATAACAGAAAATATAAATAAAAATAACACTCAATTCACTTCTTGGAAAGAAGTAAATCATTTAAAATTCTTTAAAATATTATTATTTTTGGCGGTATAAGTATCCTGTTACTTTGTATGAATAAACAAAAATCTTCCTAACCATTTTCTATCATCTACCATTTCACTTTTTTCTAATTTCTTTTTGAAAAAACAACAGAAATGAAATTTCTGTCTGTTATCTGTTCCGGAAGCCACATTTTAAGGTTAGACATTGCGTGATGAAATTAAAATGCAGACTATTTGGAATAAAACAGGCTCCCTTTGCTGGGCTCTATGGTTCACAAACAAAGAGGCAGTCACCCATCAAAGCAGCCCAGTGTGAGAGCCAGCAAGTGGAATCGTCAGAGTGGACACACCGTGCCTATTAAGATGGCAGGCACGGAGTGCAAAAAGAGGAGCACATAGTAGTTTCCCTAACAGGAAGTGTGCAAACATTCTGCTGCAATTGAGATTTTCGTGTAGACTTCCTGTGGTTTGTTTCAGGGTAAATATCTATAGGGATGTGAATTTATTCAATAATACTAGTGATTTATGCTCATGAGTAAATTAAGGTAAGGCAGCCAATTTGGAATGAAACTAAAATGCACATTTGCTTGTCCATGTTTCCTCATAAGGCTGATGATTTCCTGATGATATAGTAAATCCTTCCTTCTATTACAGTCTGTTTCACTACTATATTTTGTCTGATCGATGTGGCTAGGTTTTTGGTTTAGCACATGAAACAATACTATTGGTGACCTTTTAATTTTGTATATAGTGGGACTAGCTGCCCTTAATCACGTAGTTTAAAGTGATACTTTGAATTTTTTTCACCTGCAAGTTCAGTTTGTTAAATTTTAAAAAGAAAATGAAAGCCCAAAACATTTAAGTCTTCTATACTTTACAACAACTTTATAGCAAGCTTCTGTGGTTTTCTTTTTTGCAGTACTGGTGGTTAAATCCAGAGCCTGTGTACTGAGCTACAACCCCAGGCCTTTATACATGTTTATTTTTGAGACAGGATCTCGATAAGTTGCTCAAGATAAGCTTAAATGTGCAATCCTCCTGCCTCAGCCTCTCAGAGTGCTTGGGATTACAGCATGTACCACCATGCCCGGCTGTGGTTTTCCTCTAAAATTATTTCTAGACATTAAATACATTGTAAACCATTATATTGTAATTATTATTGTTGCTATATCATAAAGATTATATTAGCTTTTCAGCTGACTTGTTTTGCATTTTCATTATAGATAATCATGCTATTCTCAATGTCCTTTTATGTTCTTTCCAATAATGCTGATTATTATATACATACTTTACTGTACCTCAGTTAGAATTTCTAGAGCAAGATTGATAATGATGAAAACAGTCATCCTTGTCTTACATCTATTTTAAATTCTTACAAGGGCTTTAACAAAGATTTCACGTTTTTCTTGGAATAGGTTCACGACTCAGATAATTCTGTTTTTTACTAAATATCCTATCTTTACTTGTAGGGTCTGTTTTTAATATGCATAACAAAAATAACCAAACCTTTCAGCAAAACAGGAAGAAGAGCTTGTTTGGTCCTTCCATAATGCGTGCTTTACTGTAATTTCCATTTCTCATGCAAAACCATTTTTGTCTTTTGGTTGTGCAGAGTCTGTTTCCCAACTGGAATCCAATTTGCTTTTGAGGGATTTCCCATTCCTACTCAAAAGTCTGTTGGAACTGTAAGAAAGACCCTGGTCTCTGGCTTTGCCCTTTAACTAAACAGAGTAAACTAAAGGGGCAGCCCACACTAAAATTTTCAGTGGGTCTTGCTTCAGAATTTGAATGTTTAGAAAGGAAAAAAAGACAGCCATCTTTTGCAAGATCATTAGATGAAAATACATAGATTTCCTTCCATCCCAGTGATAAGATTGTGGCCACAGTGTTCTTGGTATTGTTAGAGTTTTTGCTTCTCAGCTTTATAGCTAAGTTCTGTCTGTCCATTTCCGAAGTGAGTTAGCCAACCTCACCTGGATTCCATTAGTTCCAGATATCTTTTCTATGATTAGTTTATGTGAAGGACCTTAACTTAATATACAGGAATATAATAAATTCCAAGAAAGTAGGGCCAGGGATTTAGCTCAGTGTTTTCGCTGCCTAGTGCCCAACCACAAGGACCCGAGTTCATTCCCTGGTATCAAAAAAAAAGAGAAAACATTCCAAGAAAGTATTTGCATGACGTAACTTTCTCCAAGTCATGGCAAGTTCCAATCAAATCAGCCTCATTATTCACTCTTCTCTCAAAAAGAAATATTTGTTTAAATTTCTACTATAGATCTGATAAAATGTGTCAGCAAGGAAGTTCATTGAAAATTATTTATTATTAATAATTACAATCTTAAGAGATCACTGATGTGGAAGTTCCATTATCATTTAAAACTTGACTCTTAAAGTCAATTATCCAGTCTCTGGGAAGTCATAAAGACTTGTTAAAAAAAGTAGGGCAAACTGGGTGAACGCCAATCCCTTATGGATTCTTTGGTAAGCACAGCTTCTGTTAATCTGTACACTGTCACCAAGAGCTTACATATTAAATATGTAAAGATACTTGAAGAATGACTCATGTTTTTAAATTTAACAAACTATAAAATGTAGCAACAAAACATTTCTTTAATAGTTATGAGAGATACTCAGTCTAGAACCTGTAAGGGTCAGAGTGGGCTTGTTTTTTGTCTTTTGCTTTTATATTTTTGTTTTTTTAAACTTTATTAATTTATTGTTTTGATGCTGGGGATTGAACCAGGACTCTGCACATGCTAGACAAGTGCTCTAACCCTGAGCTACAACCCCAGCCCTGCTGTTTTTTTGTTTTTTGGTACCGGGGATCGAACTTGGGTCCTTGCGCTTATGCAGCAGGTGGCAAAACCAGTGAGC